TTTTTTTTTTTATATATAATTAATCTATTGGATTGGGTTGGGTCAACATAATCCGAGTGAGAAAATAGGCAAAACATGCAGACAAAACCAAAAACCTCGAGTTCATCGGATTCCAAACAAAGTTCCTCTAGAATATACATCTGATCCCAAAGAAAAAACAACCAATAGAAAAATAAAATAAAAATACATTCATCAGATAAAGACGAACTGGACAATTTCTTTTGGCTTTTCATTCATTTTTCAAGAAAACACATTCAATCTTAACATCAGATAAAAAAAAATAAACACGCAGAGGAAAACAAACACGGCAAATTTTTGAAAGAAAAATAGATCTGGATCTGATGGAAGGGATCCCACCCACGGGATCAAGCTTCCACCATCTCCTTCACCATTTTCCCAACAAAAATCCTCTGTTCAGAGTTATACCTCTTGCAGCCCGTAAATCTCCTTTCTCAAACACCAATCTTCTTTCAACAGAAAAACACTCTTTTAGGCCGTCGTCAATACCACACTCAAAACCAAGAGAAGACTCCTTCCAGCTCCCAAAAAAGAGAACCCGAAAATCAACCAGAAAATCCCCACTCTTTATTCTGTTTTTTACTCTATATATACCCAAACAATATAATAAAATAAAAATAAAATAACATAAAAAAAACTTCTTCTGAGGATGCCGATTTGTCTGGTATACACTGTCTTTTCTACATGGCTGTAGCGTGCAAGAAGCAGGGACACGGGATTGGGCACAGAGTGCAGGAGGCGCAGCAAGGTGGTGCAGTAAAAGGAGTGTAGGCTCGGTGCAGGGGAGTAGGTGCAGCGTGTAGGAGGCAGGGGCGCAGAGCAAGGGGCGCTAGAGTGCATGATTGCGCGCAGGCTCGGTGCAGAGGGGGTATGATTGCCAGTGATCCTGGCGTGCAAAGGGACATGATTGCCAGCATGGGTGGCGCAGAGGAGAGGAGATCTGGTGTAGAGGCGAAGGGATCTGGTGCAGAGGAAGGCTGGCACGGTGTAGAGCTGGAGATTGATGCAGAGGGGAGAGGAAGCAGGAGATTGATGCAGAGGAGGGTGGAGGCTGGTTCGGTGCAGAGGATCTGGGCTGGGCGTAGGAGGTTGCAGGCTCGGGTACAACAAAAGGGGTGCAGGCGTGGTAGCGGTTAGGGCAGAGCAAGGCCGGGCGCAAGAGGGGGGAGTAGGGAGGTATGATTGCAGGTTATGGCTGGGCATGTGGCTGCCGGCTGGTTTGGGGGAGAAAGCCGGTTCAGGAGAGAGAAAATTAAAAAATGGAAGAAAAAGGAGAAGGTTCGAGATGCCTTTCCCCCCTTTTTTTTGGCAAAACCATAAGTTAAGCCCCTGAACCAACCCCAGAATCGCTATTAAGCCCCTAGACTGTAATTGATGCATATAAGCCCTTGAACTCGGGGATCAAAGCAATTAAGCCCTTCTTCTTACGCCAACTTAACTGC